AGTCTCCAGGCACTGCCATTCCCTACTCATTCCAATGTCTTTACATCTTTTCAGTCTCGCAGATTCATGGACATTGGGACAGCAAAAATAGCATTCCTGGCAAAAACCATTGTCGTCCAGGAAATGTCGCTCAGGGCACTTGTTGCCACATTTGCGGTTCTGATCAGGGGTGCACTGCTGGATTATGTTCCGTAATCCACAGTCATGACAGGATCTGCAACTCTCAATGCTATGTGTGTTAGAGAAAGTCTCATTCTCCGTGCACGGTTCACATTTAATGGCGGTGTAGTTTGAAATGATTGAACCGCATAATGGTGTGAGTCCTGTTCCTAGTGGACACTTGGGACATGCTATGCACTCCGTTTGAGCTTCTGGAACATCGGGAAAGTATCGTAAGAAATTTCGCACCTGGGAACATCGTGCCGGTCTCCCTGACACAAATCCTGAACACAGTATTAATAACAGAATCCGCTAAGCCGAGAGACAAAAAAAAAGCATTAATTAATTCGGTTATCGAGTACTCACAAATCATGATCAGGCAAAGAGATTAAGTAGGCTCTAACAGTTGATTAGAGCTATATTATGTATTTATTCAAAAAATAATTTAAAGTGCAATATCCTTAAACGGAGATGAAATTTAACAATCATAACAAGCAAACAAGTTCTTCAATGTTTACGGCGGAGGCGATCGACAAATTAACAACTCCATAACACAGCAAAGGGAAATTATTTCCAAGTCTATTAACTTGTCTATTAACTTAGTCCGTGCCGCTCGTTTTCGAGAATTCTGCTCAAAATTCTACTCGTAGAGCAGTTTCCTGCCTGTATAATTTTCGCTTCCCGAGATGCCTTATTATTCTAAAAATTATGATGCACAATTTACCCAATTTGCCCAATTGTAATAAGTACATTTAAATATAAAGTTACTCACCTTAACGGCGCCTTTCATGCCGTGCGTGTCATCATAAGTGAGTTTGTGTCGTTTGTTAGCCTGTGACAAGAAATAAACGTACAAACTTGATGTAGACTCACTGAAACTATTCCAGAACATAGTTAAACAACTGCAGGTCAAGCAAGTGTAAAAATTAAGGGTAAATCAATTACGTTCGCTTACCGTTTTGTACTGCTACTGTTTTGTAATCCCGATGCTGAAAGTTGTGGAGTTTTCGATCTTGAAATAATCAATTTCCGTCGATGAAAAGCCGTTGTACTTTGAACGCTTTTGTTAAGCCCTAATGAACGGTCTTAATGGCGGAAGGGAATTATACTTCTACAAAAGGAGAGAAAGTTCGCTCTAAATTGATTATTCATGAACTAGGGGAACCCCCCTTACACTGCGATGCGTAAGATGTCGTTTGAAACTTCTTAAGCGGGCTCACTTAGTACTAACCTCGTTGCTTCATAGTGCTGGCACCTATAATGAAATAGCCTTGGATTTCTATTAGGAGTTAAGATTACCGACGATGTAACGATGGAATCATTTATAGCGTCACTGGGTTGCCGAAGGTGGGGGATTCCCCGTCCTTTGAGCTGGTTCGTGTTTTACTACGTGCCTTCACGTATGCATCGTCATACACCTCTGACGAATCAAAAACAGTGCAAAGGCGACGAACGAAATGGAACGTTCGATGGAAATGGCATGTAGGATCATTTACTCTAGTTTTTTTTTAACTCCCTTGATCGGGTTTTTTAATATTTTTCTCGAAGTTGCAACGTCATCCCAACGAAGCCTTTTTATATATGCAAATTTCAGATGCCTTAATCACGCGAGTTACAATCAACCTCCTACGCAGTCTCTTCTTTCGGAGTGTAAAGGTCGTAGTTTTAAAAAACAGAAAAAACATATCGTGTTTATCAGCTGTTTCAGCCCTCTTTTGCATGATGTCGAACGGTTTTGATCATTTTATGACACTAGAGGCTCACAATACCAAATATT